AGAAATGTAGCTGTGATGGGCCTCCCTGGTGGCACAAAGGGTTAAGCATAACACTATGAAGCAGTCTGCAGCCACTGCAGCACAAGTTTGATCCCTGGCCAGCCAGGGAGCAGCCCACATGGTGCAGCAGACCTCTCCTGACTCGCCCGCTGCTCCCCTCAGCAGTGTACTTTGGTCAATCTGCCTGTTCTGTTCCTCACTCTGTCTCTGGTGAATCCTCTCGCCCCCCAACACCTCTGGCCTGTACCCCAGCTCTTGTGTGCATAAATAAATAAATCTTTAAAAAAAAAAATGTCGTTGGGCTTAGAACCAAACAGTGAGCAGAATCTTGTAATAGGTGTTAGAAGACTTGTGTTCAGATTCGGACTCTGTACTCTGTGCTGTGTGACTGTGGGCAGGTCCTTTCCAGTTTCTGGACCCATTTCCCAAATTGTTGAAAAGTCAGCAGCTTGGGCTTGATAATCCAGGTCTAACATTTTGTGAATCCAGAGGCCTAAAGATGTGCCTTAGCCTCTAGACCACCAGTGCTATTATGATTCAACTTCCTTTCTTTCTTGGAGTGTCTCCACAGCAGAAAGGACCTAACTTGCTAATTCCAATGCATGTATTTTAATCACTTTTACTTTTTTGCTTTTACTGTGCAAGAAAACTCTAATGAATTTTAAAAAAAGATTTATTTATGCATTCAGGAACTGGGGTATAGCCAGAAGTGTGTGTGAGGGTGGGGTACGAGAGGATTCACCAGAGACAGAGTGGGGAGCAGAATAGGCAGATCTACTGAAATACACTGAGGAGGGGAGCAGTGGGCTAGACAGTGGGTTAGCTCCCTGGCCAGGGATCAAACTCAAGCTGCAGTGGCTGGCCATTTAACTCCTACGCCACCAGGGAGGCCCTCTGATGGAATTTTTGTAGGCAAAATGGATTACATTGAAGAGGTCAAAATATATTGTGTGATTTTAAATATGAAAGACAAGGTATTGCATGCGTGTACTGCATTTGCTGACTTCTTTTGTCTTTATTTCAAATATGAACAGGCAGCCAGCCTTGTATGCTATAATTAAAAAAAAAATCCTGGAATCAATGCATCCTAAGAAAATAATTGTGGGTACAGGTTAGATAAAAACATGTTTATCAAGTATCAAGAGAAAACTGGAAAATAACCTAAATGTCCAGCATTTAGGTTTAACTAAATTATTGCATATCCACTTGAGAGCACTGTTTATAACAGGGAATGCGAATGTCACAATACATTGTTAAGTCAAAAAAGTAATTTCTAAAGCAATCTGATCTAACTTTTAAAAAAGTGTTAGGCTGAACCATATGCAATTGCTGATGTTTGACCATTTTTAACCCATAAAATCAGCATTTTTATATGACTGGATTTAATAGATAAAAAAGTGTATGTGTAAGAAAAGGTACAAGAAGGTACTAGACGGGAACTCTCCCTGATATTTTTCTGATTTATCTGTATTTCCAATGAACAATTCAAGTACTACTATTAAAAGTACTCCCCGAGTAAGGCATGCCACTCAATAAACAGTAATTTCCCCATCCTGTTATAGTGTGTTTATCATTTGTGTTTAAAAGGTCTAAAATGACTGCAATTTTATGACCATGGCCTGGATGGGAAGCTAGACTCATTTATTTTTGGTACCAGAGTTGGTTTTTCTTCGATAATGACTTTCAAAACACTTAGCCGGGGGCCCAGTTTTTTAAGCCCCCTTCATCTCTTGCCACCCTGCGTTACCCTGACCCCCCCCACAGACATATGTTTTCTGTGAGCCCTGTCAATGGGGCTTCAGGCCAGCTGAGTCCCTAATCCAACCATGTCCCATATTCAGGAATGGTTCAGACTCCAACTGTTCCCTCCGTCCCCCTGCTTTATTCTGGTGTCATCTCTCTTATGTCATCAGAGGCCCCATCTACCTGCCCTGGCCTTCCCCACTGATCGCCACTTAATTTCACCATCTAATTTCACCCTCTTCTGTGCAGCTGGTGTTTGCTTCTGCTTGAGCTCAGTTTGCGATAGGGAAGGATTAGGACCCTTTCATGCTCTTTTTTCTTTTTCTTTTTTTTTTTTCCTTAGTGCCCTTGACCGCTCCAGGGGTTGACAGGCAGCTAGCGGGGCCTGTATTCCCCAGGAAGGAACGGGTGGGATGCAGTGACAGAGACAGTGGTGGGCTCAGCTGGCAGGCGGAATACAGTGGGCCCCTAGAGGCCCCATGGCAAGGCTTGAAGCATGGCACAGCCACCACCACCCAGATGTGAGCTTGGAGCAGGCAGGGCAGTAGCTTAGTTTCTGCCCAGGAAATTTGCCTTAGAGGTGGTGGGTGGGACCTTTACTCTTGGTACCCAGTGGCAACCTCTGCAGTCATCCTCTGGAACTGTATATCTAATTTGCAGAGGCCCCTTCTGAGATGCCAGAGGGCACAAGAGTAAAGGTGGTTTCTCTGCCTTTAGACTGGGCATTGCTTGTCCCCCACCCCTGACTATGTGGTGAGCCCAGCTACGTTCAATGACTGATCATTAAACCTAACAGGGTATGGTGTGTAACCTAATTCATAACAAAAGTCCCTTATACATGGATAGTTCTCTACACTTACAAAGTCCTTTTATCTCCTGGTCAAGAATTAAAAGGTAGGACTGGAATTCAAATGTTTCAGATTGTAAAATCTATGCCAGCAGTTTTTGGTATGGAATTGCATGGCACTGAATTGAAGGGTGGTTTAAGTGTGTCTAGCCATTTTCTGCTAGCCAAAGATCCTTGCTGTTTTTCAGGATGATGGTTAAATACTATACACTCTATGTATCCAACCAAGCCTCTTTAAATATGTATCACTGGCTAGCACTTTCTGGCATGGAGGATAATAGTTTTCATGAATCTGAATATGCTGGTAGTGGTGGGCTATCTGGTGACGGAGCTTCAAGATTTATCTTTCATGGCACCAAATTTCCTTGTTCTAGGAAGTATCGGAAGCACAGAAAGGGTAGGGCTAGAGTGTCCTTAATCAAAAGTTCAGCTGATAAGCAAAAGGCACAAGGAAGAAAACAAATACCTGATGGTTTCACTTATACGTGGAATATGGAGAAACAAAACAAAGTTACAGACAAACCAAACCAACAACAAATTCTAGAAATCTGACTATGGAATGGAAGCTACAAGATGAGGAGGGGAAGAAAGGAGGCACAGTGGACGATGATAGAGGGCTGAGGGTACCTGGGTGGTGGCTGTGGTGTGGTGTGGTGAGGTGTGGTGAGGTGTGAGCCTTTGAATCACATAGAGTGTTGTAAACCAATGTGACCTCAAAGCGAAACACAGAAGGAAGGCTTAAAATAAAAAAAAAGCACAGCTGAACCCAAGGACCAGAACAAGTTCTTTGCCTTTAGTACATAGAATGACCCTGGCCAAGTCACCTAACGTTATTAAGCCTCCGCTTCCTTATATATAAATTAAGTGTGCGCTCTTCTGGGAGATGAATAAGAGGGACTCCCTCTCCCAGCTTTGAGCTAATGCAAGCTCAAACTGTAGCAATTTGAGAGGGACAATAAGTGAATAAATAGTAGAAAGTCAGGTAGGAGTAAGTGCTATGAAGCAAAATTAAAGCAGGGCAAGGATGTGTGAATTAAGGCTATTGTAGATAGGTCAGTAATTAACACTTATCTAGACCTCACTATGAGCCAGTACTATTTTAAGTCTTTACATATAACTCATTTCATTCTTACAGTAATTCTAATGAGGTAGGCACTACCTTTTTGGTAGTTCTGATCCTTTTATGGGGTCAGAAGCAGGCATAGAGAGGACCAAACAATTAGGGAGGGCAGGAGACTGAGAACTGAACCCAGGAGCCTGTTTCTAGAGGCTGAGCTGAGAAGTGAACAGGCTGTGATTGATACCAGGTGACACTTTAGCTGGCATATACTAGTGCTGATGTCGGATTGGCTTCTCCTAGCAAGTCTAACCCTCTCTGCTTCGGTTTCTTCATGTCTAAACTGGGAATACTGAAACCTATTTTACCTTATAGCGCCATCATTAAAACAGGCTTCTTTCTGCTGGTTGGGGCCCCTATCTCTTCAGAAACCAACCTGGCAGGGAGAGCAAAAGTTCAAGGGGCTCTAAAATTTCTGAGAGAAAATAAAGGCACATCAGATAATTGTCAGAGCACCCCTGAATTCAGCTGAAGACCAGACCTCCGAAGCGAGGGTTTTATGATTTTGAGGGTGCCAGAGTGGAATGAGGAGACTCTTAAATGCAGAAAAAAGATACAAGGTTGGCACAGCCGCCGTCCTCAACTTCCATTTCAGGCCTTACACTGCTGCCAGGACAGGTAAAACCTCATCAGATGGCAGTGTTGGAATGGTTCCTCGAGACGGTCAAGTTAGTAGATGAGGAAACTCAGGGCCAGAAAAGCTGAGTACCTACCCAAGGTCACTAGGTACATTAGGGGGCAGTCACTGCAGCAGCCTGGCAGCAGCCTGGAATTTCCTTGAGGCTTCCACATCTTGGCCTCTTCCCTGATCCTCCCACGGCTGGATAGAGGCTCACCTGCGTCCAGGGCACCGGGTTCCTCACTCACCACGTGGGTGCTGCAGGGGCCGGGAGCACCCGGACGCCAGAGCGGGTTGGACGCGCGTGCGCATCCGCGTCCGCAGCCGGCCCCTTGCCTCTTCGCCTTTCCTTCCCCCCCACCCGCCTGAGGTGGGGGGGAAACCGGAGGAGCCCGAACTTGGCCTTAGCCAATGGGCTGGCGGGCCGCGGGCCCGGCCCCCTCCTTCCCTCCGGCGCCATCCAATAGAAATTTACTACAATGTTGTGGCGCCCCGAAGGGGCGGGGCGCGCGCGGGCGGGCTGGCTGCGGGCCGGGCCGGCCTCGCCTCGCCGAGGGAAGGCGGGAGGGCGCGCGCCCGGCCCCCTGCTCGCCGGCTCGCTCGCTCTCTCGCTCCCTCCCTCCGCCGGGGTTAGTCAGTCAGTCAGCCTGCAGCCGGCGGGCCGCGAGCCGCGGAGGGCCCGGGCCTCGGACGCCGGCGCCTCCTCCCGCTATTGTTCACCGGGCGGCTGCAGCGGCGGGCGCGGGAGCCCCGGCCCCGCGGGTGAGCTGAGGTGGCGGCCGCGCGCGAGCCGGCGGGGGGTTCGGGGGCGCGGGTGGCGGGGCTGTCCTCGAGGGGACGGTCCTGGCGGCCGCGGCGGCGCCGCAGCCTCTTTGTCTCCAGCCCCCACAGGCCCCGGGCCGGGGGCGCGGGCTCCACGGCCTCGCACGCGGGGTGGGAACCCGGACGCCGCGGGCCTGAGGAGAGGGAGGCGGGGGTTGCGCGGGGGAGCGTTTAAAAGTTAGGCTTGGGGGGTATTTCCGGCGCGGGGACCTCGGGGCTGTCTGGCCTGTCAGTCACTGCCCGGCGGGCGGGAGCGGGGGGGGGGGCGGGGAACCAAACCCCGAGAATTGCGGGTTTCGGGCAGCCGAGGCGTGGGGTGCAACCGCCGAGCGGCTTCTCCGTGACAGGGTAGCCGGGCTCTCTGGAGAAGTCAGGCACGGTCGGGGGGGTGCGGGGAGCCCTGGGGGGACTTGAAGGCCTTCCCGCCATACACATCCGCAGCATTAAAAAAAAAAAAAAAAAAAAAAGGAAACCACAAAAAACAGGCAACAAAACACCGAAACCCGAGAGCTCGGGTGCTCTCCCCCTTAGTCGCTCCTGTTCCCAGGGACCAAGGGGTTAAATCTGTTCTCTCAGCTTCGTGACCTCCTTTTTCAGTTCTCGCATCTGCCGGCTTGGAATATTTCCTCCCGCTGGCTGGGCTGCCTTACCTGTGGAGAGGCTGGATCTGGGCTGGCCCCCCGGGATTCGCCACCCGGCTATTATTCCTGGGTGGGCGGGTGGGGTGTGGTTTGCCAAAACAGGTTTAGTCTTCCCAGGAACAGGCGTTGTCTTGCGAGAAAAGTGATCTCACGTGAAGCAAATTGCTGACCGATTGGTTTGGGCCACATGATAGCGACTGTCATCTTGTTGTTTCTCTAACTGTACCGTAAATGACGAGTCTGTGGAGACTTGTCGGTTTTTGGCATGTACTGCTGATTAGGAGATAGTTTTTTTTCCCCTTTAAGAGATGCTGAGCTTTTTTTAGTAGTCGGAGTGATTTCACAGCTGCTATTTTGTTCTTTCTGTTTTTAGTGAAAATTGCAAGAAATGGTTATGTCTTGTGTCTTGGATATTATTATAGTGGATTTCTACTCTCTTGAGGATATTCTGTATTCAATGCTACTGCTCATTGTTTTTCATATTCTCAAAAATTTTAGTTGGTATATAGGTTTACATATAGATGCACATGTATGTACATATATATCTCCTTTATATGGTTCTTGTCATCCCAATTTTATTAGTAAAATAATGAAAATTTGTTGTACTCTTCATTTTCCTTTTCTGTAAATTGGAAACATGACAGCTTTGTTGTCAGTTGTAAAATTTTTGGCCTTATAAAATTGCTTTTTGAGTTGTTATTAATATAACCCATGTAGAATACGTAGCCCAATATCTGGCACACAGTAAGACTCAACAGATGACATTAAAAAATGGATGTGATAACTGAACATCAGATTGCCTCGGAATTAAGCTGTTAATTCAGAGTGTTTTCTACAATAGGGTTGTAATTAAGGTAAAGATAAGCATTATTCATATCCCTGGGGAAATTGAAGGTATATCTTTGCCACTATCATAAGTGAACTCACTGGCAGGCCCAAATTCAGTGTGCTCACCTTCTGATTCTTCTTCCTTCTAGTAAGAAAACTACACTTTTTCCTTGAGTAATTTAATTCAGTCTTGGACATAAACATTTTAAATCTGTAGGGCTCACTAGAATTCTCCCAGTATTTATACCAGTGTCTGATACCAATGTCCTATAGGTAAGTCCTTGCACAATATGGCCCCAATCTACCTTTCCAGTTTTATTTTCCTCATTACTTGTATTTTCAACTACAAAGAACTCAGTAATAACCCATGCTTTCCTTCCATTTCTGTACCCTTGGCCAGGTAGTTTCATCTATACTTGTCATAAAAATTCTTCCTATTTTCTGTGCTCTAACCTTAAGAATGTTCTGTATATTAGTAATTTTGAAGTGTGGGAAAAAGTGTTCTGTCTGGAAGGAACTTGATGGAATATTTTGTTTTGCTTTGAATATTCTTTGAATTTCATTAAGACCAAGCAGTTGAATTTTCTTTAACTGGTGTTTGTTAAAAAGATTTAGGTTCCAAGTGTCCCATCAGTGTGTGCTGCTCTTGTTGGTAGAGATGACCCAAGGGAGATTAAGAAAACCTGTTAGGCTTCCATTCTACTCAGAGCTAAGAACTTCGCCAGTTGACAAGTTTAATGCTTGGAATTCTGACTATCAGCAAATAGGCTGAGCTAATAGAAATTTTTTTTTCTTATGTTTTTTTTTTTTTTAAGATTTATTTTTATTTATTTATACAAGCACTGGGTACAGTCAGAAGTGCGGGAGGGTGAGAGAATTCACCAGAGCCAGAGCGGGGAGCAGAGCAGGCAGAAGGACCAAAGTACACTGCTGAGGGGAGCAGCGGGCGGCAGGAGAGGTCTGCGCGCCATGTGGGACCCTCCTCCGGTGGCCGGGGAGCAGCCGGGGATCGAACCAGCGCTGCAGAGGCTGCGGGCAGCCTCGCAACCCAGCGCTCAACCACTGCATCCCCAGGGAGGCCCAGAAAGCTTTATCTTTTAGGTGGGTCTCTGCTTGCTTTCTCTGTCTCTTTCTTGGATGTCTAAGGGCCAATTTTCCTTCAATGTGTGTTAAACACTTTATTACGTTTAAGTAGTACATATGGTGAACAAACCTATATTTTAAAGTTGGCTTACCCTCAATACACAAAGTAACATGATATAATATTAACACAATAATACACAAATTTTTTCTTTGCATGTTTAAAAGTGCTTTCATTGTATCACTTTTTTCCTGAAGAAATACTTATCAGCTAATGTCTAAGTTCACAAGAGATTCCAAATGATTCCTAGTTCCGCTGAAAGAAATGGTTGTGACATTTTGTTGAGATATGGCCTATGTATTTTTCTGTTATTCTCTTTTGTCAGATATATGCTCCACATTTAAATGTTCACCGGTATGTGTGCAGCTTGAATTTAACATTTTGGGACATTACAAAGCTAGCCTTCCATTTCATTCCTTACCTTATGGTCTTAATTTTAACCTATTCACATTATGGGCGATAGTATACTTTGGATGGTAGCTCTCTCCTCTTCCTAAGAAAGTTTCAGATTTAAACTTCTCAGAAGTCTTGCCGAAAAGTCATAGGATTCTTGAATTCTCCTCAGGTACCTAAAAGTTTGTGACTTAAAATATTTGCTTCATAATTTGTGATATGAAAGATGGGACTTGCTTATATTGTTTTCTGACTAAATTCAATTTAATATTGGTGATCTGATTTTATTATTTTAGTGTATCAGTGGCTAATGGGGACTGGTTTTGGTTTTGAAATCAAGAGGAGCTTATGTTTAGACCACAGTCTGTTTTCTTATCTAAGAAGCAGAGCAGTCCCATTGCTGCCAATGTACTTTTCCAAGAGTCCCATCAAATATGTGAGTGGTCACATGTATATTCAGATGCCGATTCATCTCTACCTCTAGAAGCGCCCCCCACCCCCTTGCTTGAATCACCTTGTTTTGTTTGTAAACTAACCAGTAATGGTTCTGACAACTCTTTTCTTGTGAACACTTGGTTTTTGTCTGAATAAAGCTGAGACTTTTAAAAACTTTTTTTTTTTTTTTTTTTTTTTTTATAGAGGCATGCTTTTATTTATTTGTTTGCTGGTTTGTTTGTTTGTTTGTTTATACATGCACTGGGTACAGTCAGAAGTGCGGGAGGGTGAGAGAATTCACCAGAGCCAGAGCGGGGAGCAGAGCAGGCAGAAGGACCGAAGTACACTGCTGAGGGGAGCAGCGGGCGGCAGGAGAGGTCTGCACGCCATGTGGGACCCTCCTCCGGTGGCCGGGGAGCAGCCGGGGATCGAACCGGCGCCACAGAGGCCGCGGGCAGCTTCGCAACCCAGCGCTCAACCGCTGCGCCACCGGGGAGGCCCGACTTTTAAAAACTTTTTAAAAAAGCATCAGAATTGATCATTACAGATCTTACTTATGTAGCGAACCAGAATTATTGGAAGATGCACTTATAGTTGCTTTTAGAAAAGAACCAAATTCCAAAAATATGGAATTTTTGTTGCTCTTATAAGTTTATTGGAATGTCAGTGGCACCTTACTGTGTCCTTTTCACCAGTGGGTTCATGGCGTCTTTAGTAGAATGCAGTGTAACAAATACTCTGGTGCACACACTGGGTTAGATTAGTATTTTGATTTATACTCTATGCCGTTTAATGAATACACAGTGAGAAGGATAAAGAAAAATGCTATAATAACAATGAATGGTATTCAGAAATTGGAAACGTTAGAAAGGAGAACTTGAAATTCTGTTTTAAGTGCTTCTCCTGCTTTGAATTTTCTACCTCACTGATGCTACTTCTCATATTGGTTTTAGGAAAGTTTAGTGGGAGAATCTCATTTTGCCGAAAGTCTGTTTCCACTTGTTTTTGCTAATTATTTTCATATAAATGGGATTGTACCCACCTTGAAGTATTGGAAAATAAATTGGATTTTGAAGACAGCAACATACCATGGTATGGTCAATATAATTCAAGGAATAACTAGGAGAGACTTTAATATACTCTACCTCTAATCTTCATCAGTTTCTCCCCACAAAGTCACTATATCAATATGGTACCCCTAAAAGTCCCCGCTATAAAGAAATTCCAGAGCCATTCCGCCATCATGGTTGTCATTTATTATTATCACATTTGTCAGGAGCAATTTTTACTGTGCAAGTATCTCTTGAGTATCTCCAAGATAAACCCATATGGTTTGAATGGTGATTGTTTATTGAATTGCTCCTCTCTTCTCCCATGACTGAGAGCTCTTTGGGTCACTTTCATCCAGTTACCCTAGACTCTCTTCTTTTGTTCTTGAGTCTCAGGGCTGTCTCTATTTGTAGAGATTAAAATGATTTCAGAGCTCAATTTTATTTTATATT